CTCAATTGATAAGGACCAGCCAAAAGTGATCGCACTTGATTTCCAACTATTTTCAGTTGTGAATGATAAAGGATTTGGAAAGTTTATTCATGCACTGAATCCTATGTATGTAATTCCAAGCAGGAAAACACTCTCCCAAAAAAATCCCATCCCATCCCAGGCCTATATGAGAGAGAACGGGCATCTTCTTTTTGTTTTGCATATTTGAAATTCATTGTGTTGTGGTTTGCAGTGTTTTGTGTGGTTTCACTTTAAATTTGTTTAAAAGGAAAAAGATGAAAATTTAAATAGTTAAAAGTTGAATTGTAAATAGTTGGTTTTTGTATTTTATAATTATTTTTTTTACATTTTATGTGGAGTGAATAAATAAATTTATTTATATAATAAATGTATGTAAATAAAAAACATATCGTTTTACATTAGTAATTTATTTTGTGCATAATTTTATATTATTGTTGATAATAAATTAATTAAAGCAACAAAACAACCCGAAGAGCCGGTTGGGAGTTGAAAGAGCCGGCTCTTTTTAGTGAGTCAAGCCAGAAGAGCTGGTTCTCTAAAAAGAGCCAGAATTCCAATCACTACTCAGCACAAAAAAGGCTGGACTGGTAATCTGGCATATGTTGTCTATTTTCATTACTGACACTGAATTGCACAATCAAATCTTTTAAGCCAACCGACCGTTGACGTACCTTGCCTGTGCATTCACGCACCCTGTAGAACAGAGTTTAGTGTGGAACAAGTGGTTGGGAAAGATGGGCAAACAAAATTTTTAAAAAGTGGCGCTAAAAAGCTAAAAAAACTAAAAACAACAACAAAAAAACAAACAAAACAGATGCAGCAAACTGTATCAAATTATGCAGCAAACTGTATCAAATTAGTAACAATAGTTACAGTAAGGCTTTAAGACATGCATGCGCTCAAAGCACACTGTGCGCTGTCTATCTTGCGTGCTGCACAATATCGTTTATTATTTAGTAAATATTGATATCTATGACTAGCTAGTTTATTGTGATGGTGCTTTGTTTTCTCTATTATTATGTTGCTCTTTGTTGTTTGCTGTCTCCTCTGTTTGTTTTTTTTGTTTTTTTTGTTTTTTTTTCTCCATACAGGTGACCCAGGAGTTCTTTTTTTTTTTTTTCTCTCTCTCTCTTCCCCCCCCTTCTCACCGTCTCTTCTCCCCTTTGGTTTTCTTTCTTTCTCTCCCCCTCTTTCTCTCATTCATTCCCCCTGTCCTATTTATTTAAAAAAAAAAAAATGACAAAGGATGAACTGAAGCTCTGCCATCACGTAATGTCGCATACTGCTGTTTCTGATGTCATTTAAAAAAACAAAAAAAAACCAAAAAAAAAAACAATAGTTACAGTACTATTAGTCACAACTGGTAATGAGTGCTTGCAGTCACAAGAGGCTGCTGTTGCTGGCACTTGCTTTGGAGCAGTGTAGGAGGAGGGACAGCAGTTCTAACAACAGAGTGAAGAGATGGAGAAAGGTTGTAAGAAAATAAATGGAAGAACACAATTAGGAAGGGAGAGATTCAAGGATACAAGTAAAATGATTTGCTACTTCCACCTGTTTATTTTGTTTCCCTTTTATTCCCCCCCCCCCCCCCCCCCATCTACAGCATAATCCGACTTAGTGGTGTGTGTTTCACCTGAAAACTCAGCTAAATGATTATGCCAGAGTGAAATAAATTCTACATTGCACCGGGATGCTTGATGAGGATGTTGAGAATAATTTTGTTGATTGATACCGGTAATAGAAGTGTTACTGTCATGTAATCCCTGTGGCACATGTGGAAGCGGATCCCTGCAAGGCCATAATCAAATTTATTTTTTCTGTTTATAGGTAATGATGGTTTGTGCATAATGCAGGTTGTGGAGCAATCAGGTGGCTGATTTCATTGTACAGCCTGTGACAGATTGGGACAAAAATATTTTGTGTAAAGAAATTTAACAAGTCTTCACTATGTTTGATAAATGTATCGCCACTACAGAGGAATTTGTAGTATGTTCAATATGGGCTGTGCACTGTTATGTGTGTGACAGAATAACTGCCTTACTTACTGTGGTGCAATTCACAGATTAAAGGGGCTCTTTTTTATTTTCATAAAAGATTAGACAGCATAAATAATAGGGCAACATACTAATCAATCTTTTGGTGTGAGGTACACTTCAAGACCGCCTAAACCAAGACCAAGACAGACCGAGTCAAGACTAAGACAAAGTCGAGACGAGACCAAGACAGAGACCGAGACAAAAAAGTCTTTAAACTGCAGCCAGATGCTGCTTCGTTTACGGGTGTCAGGCATATTTATGTGTTTTTGCGATGCACTCGCACAGCCCTGCTCACCTCTGTCTACTGTCTCACTCACTTACTGAGAGGACAGACGGACTCTCCACTTGAGTGTCGCATCTCTCACCCTCTCTGTTTTTCACATAATGATAATATCCCATATCCTCACATGTGATTGGCCACAATATGGAGGGATTGAAGTATAGCTGAGCCACTGTGTGAGAGCTGAGCAGCAAAAGGAAATTGAGTGGGGCTTTTGCGTATGACACATTATCGAACATTACGTTGTGTGTCATGGATAGTGTTGACTCCAAATCTCCCGACCACTATATCGATCTGAGACATCAAGACCGAGACAGCGAGACCAAGACAAGACCGAAGTCCGTCAAGACCAACACAAGACCAAGACCACATAAAAGTGGCCTTGAGACCGATCTCGAGACCACTTTTACGTGACTTTACAAGACCGGTCTCGAGACATCCAACTCTAGTGTGAGGCGAAGAAAGAAGCCTGTAAAACCAATGCGTGACAACTTGATGGGGATAGATAACCATGACTTTGAATAAATAAATAATGGAACCAAATACATGTTTCTTAGGCATGTTACATTAGCTTTTAATAACCACATTGCCACTAAGGAATATTTTAACTTTACTGGACTGTTTCACGAGAAAAAGAGGGAACAAGGAAACTGTCATAAGGATATGGATAAACAACAACAGGGTTCTATGTTACAGTACTCTGTATTCACGGTTATTTCCTCAGTACTGATAATGTGTATAGATTGATTATGGAGTGACAGAGGCCTGTAAGTCTGATTCAATGTTTTCTCACAAATGTCCTAATGCATACACTCAGGCCTGAGATCTTAGGCAACCGGCCAAAACAACATCCAGAGTCATCGCTTTCTTTAAAGTGAAGTGATCTTACTGAATATACTTATGGGCAGACATTCAATCTGCTTGCTTAAGCAACTAAAGACCATCTCAGTGATTGCTCGCTCAGTAATGCTGCCAAAGTCTTTGCATCCTTGGATGGACAATTAAATTAAGCTTTATAAGTAAATGAAGTTTTTTCTACTACCTGTGGGTAATTCATGTTATAGAAAAGCAGTTCAAAAGAAAGACCTGGGAAACAGTTTGTGTTTTAAACTTCAAACAGTCAAATGTTTATTAGTTTATTTCCACATAAATGTGCATTCTTACATTTAAGCTGCTCTAAACTTAAGAGGTATTTGCAGTGACTGATTGGAATTATATCTGTAAGTGAAACGAGCAATACAAGAGAACTTGACCTGTCAAATTGTCTTTGTTTATATAAATCTCTCTTTGGAAACAAATGATAAGCATTTCAGGTGTTTTCTTTATTAATTTATGCAGTATAATAAATATACTATTAACTTAGTTTTCCTGTTAGCCAAATTTTGGTTACTAATGTTGGCTAGTAATAATTTCTGCATTAGCAAACATTGTGACTAATGCTAACTGAATGCTCAGACCATGCCATTGGTCAGTTGCAATGTTGATCCTGGACCAATGATGATGTAGGAACAATACAAACACAGGGATATCAGATCATTCGTATGTATTTGTATGCTAGCAATAATTTCCACCTATACAGTCTATGAATGCCATTTGCTAAGCTGGCTAAAATAAGCTGGTAATGTAGCACTCCACACCCTGATCCAAAGTGGGCCAAAGGCATGCCAGGTAGGCTTTATGCCAGTGTGCCAACACATGAAAAGCCAGAACTACAGGCAAGACATTTCAGGCATTGCTGCAGTAGTATTTTCTTAGAGGATTTTTATTACATTCTAGAAAGCACTTCAATTTTGGTTGTAGGCTGATATATGTAAATCATTTTATAATACCATATTGTACCACTTCATTTATAAAGCACTTTTAGAAAACAACAAGAGGGCTGACCAAAAAGCAGAAAGGGTAAGAGATGCAGAAAAACAAAAGAGCTGTAGAAGTTAAACAATAAAATAGTACATAAAAAGTATCTCAGAATAACTGTTAATATCTCTCACTGGGTCAAAGGTCAGGGAGTAAAACTGTTTTTTTTAAACAAAAAAACCCCCCAAAAAGAGAGTGACAGAGTGAGAGTGATATATGGGTACAGCAGTTCAGACAGATAAAATGGAGCACAACTGTTAAGAGACTTTAAACAACTAAATGGATTTTAAAATGGATTTGTAAACAAACCGGATGCCAGTGAAGGAAAGCTAAAATTGGAGTGATGTGCTCTCGCTTGCACCAATACTTTGAGTGGCAGTTTTTTTTTGCACGAGCTCTAGGAGAGCAATACAAGGCTGGCTAATTCAGATAAAAATTGCACTGCAGTAATAGAGATTAGACATTTTGAAAGCATGCCTTAATGTTTCAAGGTGAGTTTCGACATAAGACCCTTAATTTTTGACAGGAGCCTCAACTGGAAAAAGCAGGATATTAGCACCATACAAGGTAAGATAAAATGAGTTCTAATGCAGAGCCATCTTGAGGTTAAAGCTCGCTATTATTAAGCCCTTTTGACAGTATTTCCTGCCAGTTATTACAGACCGCAGTTCCTCTCAAAAACCGCAAACACACACACACACACACACACACACACACACACACACACACACACACACACACACACACACACACACAGTCACACACACACACACACACAGTCACACAGATACACACTTAATGCAAGTGAAACTCTTGCTGCAGGATGCTGCAGGAATCAAAGTCCCTCCCCTTGATTTTATGACTTGTGAGAGAGTGAGTTGGTGAGAGCGAGAGAGTAGAGGACGTAGAAGAGTGGTGATGCAGGGTATCCAGTCCTGTCCAGAGCTTGAATGACATTCTGAGGTTCAGTTCTTCACCATGCCACCATGAACATAAGCTCCACTCACTGTGAAAATGGCACAAATAGGAAATTCCTCCAGTCAGGTAAGGAACATAAATAATGATAAATGGAAAGTTTGAACTAAATGTATTTCTTTAAGATAAGTGGGATCTGTGAAGTGTAATAATGACTTCCTGTCCTGTCCAACCTCACGAGCACATGGATATGGTGTACATCTCCATTGAGACCACTATTGCTCTGGCCTCTGTGGTGGGGAATGTACTGGTGGTGCTGGTGGTGTATGAAAACCGGGCTCTCCGCAACGCAACCTTCTGCTTCATTGTGTCTCTGGCCATGGCTGACATCGCTGTGGGACTTTTGGTCATCCCTCTAGCTATCGTTATCAGTGTGGGATATTACACTCAGTTCTACACATGCCTCTTCCTGTCTTGCCTGATTCTGATGATCACCCAGAGCTCCATCTTTTCCCTACTGGCAATAGCCATCGACAGATATCTGCGAGTCAAAATTCCTACCAGGTGAGGAACTGATTTAAAAGCAGTTGTTTGTGTGTTTGTTTTTTTATTGTTATTTGTTTTATCTGAAAAGGTAAAAATAAATTAATTGGAATAAAGTAGTGAAAGTTGAGAATTACAGTATCAATGTAGTAAATCATGATCTGTTTACATTAAGAAGAACTCAATATTCAAAGCAGAACACCATAGGAAACTGATGTCAGCATCCTCCTTGACCGATAAAGACTGCCTGATCCAGTCCATTGCAGCTTTCCTGTCCAAAATTAATCATGCAAATTAGTCATCCACTGATCTAGGTTCTGTACAATATTCATCCTACTTATAAGCATAAATTTATTTCACAAACATTTTAATTGATATCACATTATATAGCATGTGTCTTTTGAACTTGAACTAGCAGAACATATGGTGTTAATCTCTTTTTAATTGTCTTTAGAGTCAGAGAGCCTAATATGTGCTCAATCGAGTGAATTAGGTTCTCCATCTTCATGACTGATATACAGCACCATATATCTTTGCAAGGTTTAATGCAAATAAAAACCTTTTAAGCAAATTAAAATGTTCCTGTCTATGTAAACAACTGACAGAGGTAGCATTTTTATGAAAGCTGGCGGTCTACCACACAACATTTTTATATATCAGTTGGATCCTGATGTCAAGTGTCAGTTGTGAAAACTTTGAAAAATCTCAAAGGCTGACATTGGACCAATGAAACACTATAACTATAGTACTCATATGCGCATTTAGGTGAATCGGAAACCTGTCTTTTCTTTTTCATCATACTGCGCAGGTACAGCATCATAGTGACTAATGGGCGAGCGTTCGTGGCAATTTGTCTCTCTTGGATTCTTTCCTTCCTCACTGGATTGGTTCCGATGATTGGCTGGAATAACCGGGATACCGCAAACCGCAGCAACGCCAGTGAAATATGCTGCCAGTTCACCGCTGTTATAAGGATGGACTATATGGTGTACTTTAATTTCTTTGTCTGTGTGGCACCACCACTGCTGATAATGATCACTCTGTATGTGGAGATCTTTAGGGTCATACGGAAGCAACTTAACCGCCGTGCTGAGGCCACCTGTGATGGAGACAAGTACTTCCGGAAGGAGCTGAAACTAGCCAAATCGTTGGCCTTGGTGGTGTTTCTCTTTGCTTTGTGCTGGCTCCCAATACATATCATGAACTGCGTGACTTTATTTTGCCCAAATTGTATCAATCCGATAGCCTCAAAGGTAGGGATTTTCATGTCCCATGTAAACTCGGCTCTTAACCCGCTGGTTTATGCATTCAAGATGAAGCATTTCCGTGCCACACTCATCCAAATCATTCGCCGCTGCATGTTATGTAAACCCTTAGAAGCGACCGCATACCCTACAAGCACAGTAGTCCTAAATTAGAGAGTGAATTTAAGTGTAAAAAAAGGACTGCGATATTTCTGTTCTTGGTTTCCAGTGATGGTGTATCAACAATACTAATGGGATTACATGATATATGGAACTGATAAGGAAAATAAACCCATTAGCTGGAATAACACAGCACTTCACTGAGTCTTGGGAAACACCCATATCTTAACCATTTACATTTCTGTGAGTTTCATTAGAATAAACCAAGGTTGCAGTGAGAAAAACTGAAAGAAAATTATATCTTCATCAGTCTGGCATTTGATTTGTTTTGTTTTTGTTATTAAGTTCTTTCCTTACTGATTCATATTGAATTTTTTAATCATTGTAATGTGCTGTAGATAAACATCATAAATGATGCATTCAATATTTCATGCTCAGAATGCTTCAAAGTGGAAACAAGAGATGTATTTCCCATTTTAACAAAATACATTCTACTCAGTGAGATGTTGCAGGTATGTCTTAGACATCGCCAAAGTTATTATATTTCAAGGACATTATCCATGTTTGTGTGAAAGCCAGTGGCATTCCATAGTGGGCGAAATATTGCAATATGTGCCAAAGTGGTCGACTGACTTATAAATGAGATTAGATTCATTGCAAAGATTGAATTTGGAAAACCACATACTAGATGCTTGATGAGTCACATGAACACAGTCAGAAGAGTGAAGAGATTTACTGGCATAATATCAATACAGAGTGCAGTTTGTTCTCTGGGTTTCACATAAACAGTTCAATATATGCTGAGATGAAAAGGCTCTGCCTTGAATGCAAATTAATCAATTCAGGCACTACACCAAATGAGACAAAAACTCTGCCAATATCAAAGCCTTTCAGCCATAAGTCTTCATCATAGGATGCAGGGACTTCCTCAGCGAATTCACATAGTTGAGGCCATATTTCACAAGCTGTGGCAGAATGGTGAAAAGGCTCTGGCGCATTTAAAGAAATTAACAACAGAGCATTATGCTCAAGTGATTTATTCCAACTCCAAGGCTAAAGCTTCTGCTAAAGCCGCATCGGTTCTGCATCGTCATCAGTTTGACCTCAGGACTACATCCACTCAGTACTTAATACATAAAAGCGGTATAATCCTTTTAGAATATTAAATGATTTTCCATTTGATATGCTCAGAACACCAGGCTTTGTGTTAAAACAATGGGGTTCAAAAAGGTATTTAATTATCGCTCAACATGTCAATATGTACTATATATTACCATCTCTAACCTTCATCCTCGCTGAGGGATTTGAAACTGCTGAGTGTGGTCTAATCCCCAGCACTCATCTTAGAGAAGCAGGTGCCGCATAACCAACCAGGCATTTACTGCCTTTGCACCACACAGCCCTGTGAGCACTGGCCTAACAATATCTACAGTAGAGAGGTAAAAGCATGGTGTAAGTAGGAAGTGTCTATCGTGACTTCATCACACAGAAACTGAAATCTTCGCAAGGTAAGACTATTTATATGTATATTTGGAGAAACATTTAAGGCTTCTACAAAACACTATCACTACATCAGTTTGCAAAATCATTTCTTACGTTTGCTTTTTTAACATTTTCAAGCAGCAACAGAATTTTGCATGCCCAACCAACTATAAGATGGCTGACACTCATAGAGAAGGAGAGGAACAAGGGGAAGAACAAGATCTAGAGGCTCCAGAAGAAGAGATGGATGACGAACATAATGCCTTGCTACACTTAAGCAAATACCGTGAAGCTCAGTTTGCAAAACCGTGGGAGCAGTGGACCTTCAGAGATAAAGCAAACTATTACATGGACCGCATCTTCCTTGGGCTTTTGGTCACTTTTTTGGTCATTTTTATTGGAGAATGTGGCTATAAAATCTGGTACTTGACAAACGTGAATGCGATTGTGGAGTTTGTTTCAGATTTGGTGGTCTTTTTGTTCGATTGGCTCTTCACGCAGGACAGACAGGAGCAGGTGGCTGAACTATAGGCTGCAATGAAAGGATTACTTGATTTTGTCTTTTTTTGTGTGTATTTTCTGCAATGTTTAAAACACAAAAGATCACTAGAGAATTTGTCTGCATCTTAGTAAGGAATTTTTGTAATATTACCAGTACCTGAGCACTATTTCTGATCATTTTTGATGGAAGTAAACATATTGAATGAGCTGTCTCACTGTCATGCACTTCAATGATTTGTACCATGTGGTTTTTCCCCCAAACCAACTATGTAATTAAAAAAATTATTAATTTCAGCTATGATTTATGAATGACAACTGCTATAACTATGTTAGTTTCTGTTACAGGCTAATTAATATGTTAATATATTTTAAAGTTGGAACATTGAAACATGCAGTGCAAATGCTTTGAAGAGTGCTGTAAAGCTGATTTAAAGGACTAATTTTTTAAGTGCCAATTCCTGTTTAATTCTCAATTTCCTTTACTCCTTAACATTTAGATGCATTTTATTAGATATCATGTTACATTTTTATTTATATATATTTAGAATTGATTTATATTTACTTATAAATATTAAATGTAGATATATGACTTAATTGTTACAAGCCAGTTAATTTACTATCCAATCTGTACATGGAAAGTGAATAATAATAACAACAATAGAATGTTTTTAGTGTATTTTTATGAAAGGTGTCATTCTGCTACAAAAATTTTCCACTAAATCATGTTATATATATATATATATATATATATATATATATATATATATATAAAACATGATATATATATATATATATATATAAAACATGATATATATATATATATATATATATATATATATATATATATATATATATATATATATATATATAAACTTATAATGGAGCGAATACAAATGTAACTTAATTGTTCGACTTCTTCACCAAAAATCAATAATAACATGGTTTCTTACTTGTAAAGTTACATTTATAGGTGTAAAATTTGGCAAATTATAAGAGTAAAGTTATAATAGCAACGACCCAGTGCACAAAAACGATTTTCTGTGTGCTGTTTTCCTGGAGATAAGCCACCTAAGTTGTTTGCACAATGGAAAATAATTTCACCAATATTTTCAACAATAAAAAGAAATTATTCTCAGTTGGGCACTTCCAGAATAAATGTACAGTGGTCTTTAGATCCGAAACTGCAGTTTAGACCAGCGTGTATTTAATATTGAAATTATAATAATTGCTACCGATTTATTTGGTCAGTGAGACGCTCGACTTCATTCTGTACCACATTACCCACAATCCAAGTCCAACAATGATTCTGACGTATACATCTGTCATCAAGCAGACCAATGAAATCGACGCACTCTATCTCATACAACCTCCGGTACCGCCTCTCTTCCTCTTCCGGATTTTCTAGCGTGACCGACGTTTCGTGTCTATTTAGACTTAAAAGTAAGTCCAACTATCCGTCACATTATAGATGTTAGTTTGTATCTCCTTATGATTTTTTAAGGTGACCCGTGTTTGATGGTTGATTTTATTCGGCTACAAATGTGTCGTTGTTGCCTAAATTACTGTCAATAATGGAGGACTGCTACAGACAAACACTGGGCGCCATGCTGCCTCTGTCGGTCCCAACTGATGTATCCAGCTTACATGGTTCACACCAGCATAGAGGCTGTTACACCATGTGTTCTTGGCACTGAATACAAAGTCGAACAGCGACCTGCATATTTAGTATGGTGATTTTTGTCCGTGTGTAATGTTTAGTATTTTTATTTGTAAAACATCAGCTACACTACAGCTGAACTGCTAAACCTGGGTTCTCCGAACATATTTAAAGACTCAAAGTATAATCTTAAAAACACTAAAGAATCAAAATATTCTTATAGAACTACTAGTAGTTATACACTTCAGTTTTTTGCTTTATGAAAGTACTCATCGTTGTCCTTAAATAAATTCACCGAGGGTGCGTGCAGGCCCCCTAGTGGCAAACCTGGAGTATTTCTGAGTGTCAGACTACTCGATAAAAATACAATTTAGAAATCACCTTTTCCTGCTTTAAAAAAGAAAGGTGCTAATCTAACGTATTTTGGCCTTCCACTCAAAGGAATATTGCCAAGACTATGATTTATCATATTTTTAACCAGCTAGTACTGCACAAAATACACGTTTGCCATCATACGGGCAGCAAAAAAACGACATTTCTGTTGAGACATGTAGAAAAGACTTGCTTTAACTATATATGGACTATTCATGTTTGCATGCGTGGTCACCCACTACAGGCCTATTTTGAGAGAAAAGAAATACAGCTAAACTTACACTTTCTGAAATTGTTACCTGTTTATCTTCTAGTAATATAATTAGCAGCATCAATGCTCATTATACTCAAGTTCTCTAATCTCATGATTTCCCCCTTTTAATTACTTAATGTAAAAAAATCATCAGGCCATCAAGATTAACTGTAACACAAACCGGAATATTGAGATGCTTTTCGAAATGAAATTTTCCAATTTACATTCGTAACTTGGCACACAGATTCTTCACTTCTGTTTCGTTATCACTACAGAATGCGTTACGTGGCCGCTTACCTCCTGGCTGTTCTCGGTGGAAACGCCAATCCTTCTGCCAAGGACATCAAGTCCATCTTGGACAGCGTGGGAATTGAGGCCGATGATGAACGCTTAAATAAGGTTTGTTGCTAAAACATTGAGCCTTTTCCTCTGAAAATGTGCCGTGGCTGAGTTGTCTCTTCTCTGCAGGTCATTAGTGAGCTCAATGGTAAAGACATCAATGAAGTTGTGAACTCAGGTAAAGGCCCTTCTTTGAAAATAACTGCAGAGGTCAAGATGATATACACTGGAGCTGGCTAACAGTTGTGTATCACTTTTTTCTTCCACAGGCCTCTCTAAGTTAGCCTCCGTACCAGCAGGCGGTGCCGTGGCGGCACCTGCTGCAGCTGCCGCTGGTGGAGGTGCTGGGGCTGCGCCTGCTGCTGGTACGTATATATTTATATATCTGTCATTAAAGAAGAAAATTAAAGCTTCTGCAAGTTTGGATGATAAATTTGTACTAACGCTGAAAAAGTTTAGCTGTGTGGGATCTCAGCGCTGGTAACTACTCTCTGTACTTATCTTTTCATTAAACAACATCTTGTTGTTTGCAGTGGAAGAGAAAAAGGAAGAGAAGAAAGAAGAATCGGAAGAGTCCGACGAAGATATGGGTTTTGGTCTCTTTGATTAATCTGCCTTCTCTGTGTTTAAAAAGCAATAAAAATGTAAAAGGTTTACACAAAATCACCTTTTCTTACTGTCCTTTAATTGATATTTATTTTAAATAACCCTTACCTAATTGTGACTGGGCAAAAGTAATCATTCACAAAGATATTACAGTTTAAGTGTCTGGGGCTTGACGCTAAAGCTTTTGTCTCATGTTAAAAATAGACAAGACTAGGAAACCAGTCATCATTAGGCAAACCAGACCTTCCGTGTGGTCTGTCTGTCGTATTGTTGGTAAGATAATTGAAACCACATAATGGTATGAGCAGTGAGGGACAGTCCATGAACCAGACCAGACCAAAATAATAAAAAAACAAGATTGAAACTGGTGTGTTTAAGGTTTAGGAAACACATAAATGACCTGTAACAACAATTCAGTCACAAGGAGAAAAAAAAAAACAGTATAGAAATTTGTAAAACGGGTCTTTTGGAACATGGAAAAAAATACCAATAAAGTGTTGATAGTATAAATTGTATAATTATCAATGCAGCCATACAGACACAATGATTCTTAATTTTTAAAATTACTGCAAGACTCATGAGAACAGGATCAACGGGAAGGGGGGAAGAAGTCAATCAGTAGATTGGTAATGTGCTTCAAACAACAGCTAGCATAATGTTCAGTGCTCTCAATAGTTATTTCTCATGGTAAAGACGTTTGATTGCCCAACAAGTTGAATAGTAATGCAGCTGGCATGGATGGACACCTTAGTGACCTGTCATTGATTACCTGTGTGGTTTCCCTGTCACAAGCCAAAACCCTGCAAGGGCATAAATTAGAAGTGAGTCATTAGTCACATCACAATATATCTTTTGCAATTGACAGCATAAATAGTCACTCAGCTGTGACCTGGATTTTTCCACTACCTGCCATCTTCCACAAACTGCTTTTGCCTTACATAAGATACCCGAATTAAGGTCAACGAAGTAAGCAACTTAATCTCTTAATGCTGCCTTTGAAATGACTAACTACGGTACTCAAAGAATTAACGCTGATGTGTGGGCTTACTTTGCTTCAAGTTTCACTAAATCAGATCTCAGTGGTTCATGTCATACACAACACTCATAACTGTGTTGTGTTCATCATGCAGTTCCATTTGTCTTTTTCTCGTTTTTTTTGTAGAGCACAGCACAAAATCACACGTGTTCATTATTTTTAGTAGGATACTGAGGCAGTCATAGTACTTCATAATAATTATATTGACTGTTGATTTCCATTTAATATTTGCTTATTCCAAATATATTAAAGTCTATCAAATGTATACAGATTCTTTATACACTTTGAATTGTCAATGTAAAGCTTTTTTTATTTATTGCAAAGCTGATGAAAACATACTTTATTTATAATTGCAGTAGTTTTAACAAGTCTGTTTTATTGTCAGGGTTGTACAGCTTTTAAAATATGTTGTTATATGTTAGTTGTAAAACACAAAGGTGTGGCTGACCCAAGGTCTTTTTATTGCTTCAGCTTGCATTCATCTGTTAGAACAGAGTTTCTAAGTTTTTGTCAACCTGCAGCTGCATACATTGTATGGACAAAAGTAGCGAGCCACTTGCACATTATACCTACACGAGCAACTCCCGTTACAGTACTATGCTGGAATTCGGTGAGCTCTTATTTCCACAGAAGTTTGGAAAGGTCTACCACATGGCTAGGAGCCTGATTTTATATAGCCGTGGCAATGGGATTGAAAACACCTGAATTCAAAGGTTAAGAGGTGTGGCCCATGTATGTCAGAAGCTGATGGCTTTATTTCTTGAAGCCTGTTTCCTAACAGGTATAAACAGAGATCTCTAGCCTCTCCTAAACAGGTTTGAGCAGGTATGTAATAGCCTAAGGCTGATGTTTGATTTGTTCTATTAGCTTCATTTTTCTGTTTCTCAGGTGGTGGAAGGATAATGAATTTTTTTTAATACTCTTCACAATAATTATTTTTCCAACAAATTAAGGGAGATGCAAGTCTTAATTTTTGCTGTTTTTATTGTCAAGTTGATCTTAAATTAAGCCAGCCTTTAGATATACATCAATTCTCAATGGAAAAAAATATAAACATCTTTTTAGTATTTAATATGAATGCCAGCATTCATGAAAAACAAACATCAGTCACATTTTAGAATACCAAAATATTCAAGAACCTTGCACCAAGTTGTTTAGCTTATACATAAAAAATTGCACTGATCTTTCACATTTTTACAAATTCATATACACAACTCAACCTAGCAAAGTGTCACAGTTTTTTAGTTTTGTGAAACCAGCTGTGTTTGTTAGTAGTTTACTTATATCTCAGTTGAACCTTAATGTGAAAGACAACACTCATGCACTCAAACAACATCCAAACAGTTTTCTCAGCAGTCGTTCTGTTGCGAATTTATAGTTTAACACGCACTCAAAAACAATATTAAGAAAACATAACATAGATTACAGCATGTGTCTCTTTGCAGGCTTAAAGCATTTCTTAGCTAGCCCCTTTGTAAAAAGGAACTCAGGTGTGCAATGCATCCTTAACCACATCTACAGTGCTAAGAGGGGTTGTCAAAATTTAATGTGCAGCTATGTTTCTGCTTGGCTGCTTCTCAGTCATCACTGTCAGACCATGGATGATCTGTGCATGCCTGTAAGAGAACATAAGAGTTTAAATAAAACAAACTTTTTCAATGTCATTTTTAAAAATAAACAATATCGTACGCTATATTTAGCATCTTTTTTAGGGATATACATTCAAATATTGAAGCAAGGGAACATTTGCATTCCCATTTTAATCAATAATTAACTGATAACATCGTTTCATTATTATGAGAACAACACATGAAAGCTGTTTCTTTCTAATGTTTACTCTCTTTGCTTTATCCCTCTCCATTTCATCTGATCCTTACCTGTCTGTATTCAAATCGGTCCTGTAGATAACGGTTTCCCAGACCAGTAATGTGGCCTACATTCTGTTTGGAGAGTCCGGCTATCCTGGCCGTGAAGTCGAGTGTGAAAGCCAGTTTGACCAGCTCAGGTGCTGTTGGTAAGACAGTTGGAGGTTTTTGGGTCGATGAACCTTCTTTCTCAACATATGCATCAGCAAGCTTTTGGAAGGAAGAGTATGTCATCTGCTGAAAGAAGTAGCTCAGGGTGGGGTTATCTTTCATCTGTAAGACATAAGGAGAAGAGGAGGTCTGTTAATACAATCTGCTTTTGATTTACTAAAATAAACGTGAAGTCAACAGCTACTGAACAGTTATACAAAATGGGATAAAAAGCTAATTACAATTTAATAGAGTGCAAGGCTATCTTATCAGGAAGCCTAAATAATCATTAGCTGTAGCTGAGAGAACAGAAAGCTTTTAGTCTGATTCATGATGGGTCCAACTAATGATCATTTACATTATTGATTAGCAACCCATTTATTTTCTCTTTGTACTGATTGTTTGGTCTATAAAATGTCAGAAAATTAAAAATGCTCATAGCTCAAATGTGGATAATATCTCTAAAGGCCATATTTACATGTGCAAATGTTTTTGAAATATACCAAAAACAATTTATGATCCAATAATACAAAGAAAAGCAGCAAATCCTCAGACTTATGAAGCTGTCGTCATGAAATCTTTAGTATTTATGCCTGATCACATTTCTAAATAGTTTGTATTGCCAAATGCAGCCATACTTATTTAATGTGTGAACCTGTTGTATGAAAAAAACAAAAAACTAACTGTAGTTTCAAAACATGCTGACATGCTGCTAAGTAGAACTTTGCATATTTAACTTTACACCTCTTCCTGTTCTCATGTAGGCCTCGTTTACTACTATTCTTATTGTAAAAACAGAAAACATGCAGGAGTAAATGCCCATGACAAATTCACAAAAACCCATTAAGTATTGCAGACAAACACAGGAACTTGAACATGAATTTGTGAAGGAGTTTGTACTTTTTCACTGGAGTTGGTAATGGTTATCTTTATAATAATTTGAGATTTATTAGTTAGCTTTTGTTTTCTGTTAAAACACATTTTATCTGTGTAATTAAAAACAATTTAAATTCAAGGCATTATATACAGGCCGACTATTTCACATAAAGTATTTCAATATTTGTAATTTTCCAAGACTGACAGTTAATACCAACCTTGACATCTATGGCATCACCCTGTTCCTTCATCAGAGCAATGATCCTGTTAATTACTTCCTCTGAGACCAAACAGAAAGATGAAGTGTAATTAATGCTCTGAGCAGTTCACAACATTGTTCACACCACAGTCTGCTACATGTAACAATGTGGGTTTAAGTGTATGGTATAGTTACATTTTTAGCACAAACCTTCCATTTGGTTTAGGAGTTGTTTTACTTTTCTTTCATCAAATTTGTTGCCAATACTGAAGTATTTTCAGACTGACATGTACATGACTTAAATTTAGAGAACTAAACAGTTTCTTACCATCTGAAAGTGGTGCAACCTCTTCTTTTTCTTTGACCTCATGGACAATTTTTTCCAGTTCCTCTGACACCTTCTCATAATAAGAGTATGTTGGTGTTACACTGACAACAGCTGCAAAATGAAGATTTGGTTATTTTTAAATGTGTATTTTTTTGTATTCCAGTGATTTGGCTTACTATAAAAATGTAAAAAATAACATTGATTATTAACTAAGGTCAGTTCTCCCACAGACATACCTTCAACTCCAGTGATGTCAGCAGGTTTGTTTGGTTTTGTCAGAGATGGCTGCCTTTTTGAGAATCTTCTTCTTAGGGACTTTTTTCTTGTTGACTTCTTTGGTAAAGTGACTGGTGTAATGGGCAAGCAGTTAGTTACTGTCTCAGAGGACTTGGACTTGTCTGGTGGACTGTCCTGCTCATCGTCTTTATCCTCATTGTCCTTCCGGGTGAAAAAGCCAATTATATTTTTCCAAAATGAGGTTTTCTTGATCTTCTTTGATTTTTTTGTCGGTTTCTCTGGTTCTTCGGGACATTTCTCGGTTTGGTTTGGTACATGTTCGACCGGAGAGAACGTATCAATTTCTTTGCCATCCACATTCTCAAGTGA